AAGATATGAAAAAGATTTTTTCAGATCTAAAATTACAAAGAAAAACAAAAATCCAGTTCCGAAATTAGATCTGAAGTAACCCATTTGTAAAGTATCCAAGTCTTGTTTTAACTTTTCACACTCCATTTCGGATCTGAAATTCATATCTGAAAAAAATTCTTTCAGATCTGAATTAGAACATTTACTAGGATCGGGCCTTTAGATCGGCAGGGGGTCCACCCACACCCCCATAACCCTCTGGTGAACATGACTTCTCTTGGCTTTTAATTGGAGTCGGATAACTTTGAGTATTTTTTCAAATACCTTGCTTTGCACTGACAATATAGAAAGTTAGGTCTTACGAATTGAATTGTACAAGAAAACAGTATATAATCAATTAGCTTCACTCATTTCAGTTAGCTTGACTCACGGCTTTGATTGCGGATTAAACCGTTAACCCTAAAAAGTTGTCATTACTTGAGCATCAAAAAAATTTTCAAAGCGCAAAAATTGGCATTTTTCAAACCCCCAAAAGCGGTTCTTTCAAATTTTTAGCTTTAACTTTTTTCTGCAAATTTTTTTGCTTGTGAGACTACTATTGCTGAAATAAGTTTGAAAAAAAAATACCCAAAGGATCCTGAGCGGATTCAGGGGGAGGAGGCAGCGGTGGACGCCCCTCTTCCTCAGGGTTTTGATACCACTCTCCGACCAAAAGGTCCATATATCTCACATTAACTTCAACTGTCAATTTTGTCCCATCTATACTTGTGAAGTCACAAAATCTCACCACAATATCTGGTGTCAAAATGCCAGTTTCTTGTCAGTGCTCATTCTGAACACCAATGTGTCTGGTTGTTTTGTTTATAGCAAAAAGTTATCGAACGCACACAACGCCTCTTAAGTTTTAGTAAAAAAGACAAAACTTGACCAAAATAGTTTTTATTCTTGCTTATCAACGTTTAGTGTCGATAGAGAAAGTGGCGAAGTGTTTTGAAAAAATTGGGTGATTTTCGCAGAAAATCAAAGATCAATCTTAAACCCCAAACACCCGGCTGAAACTTTTCAAATTAGCATAGGATTATTTGTCAAAAGTAGCATAGGATTATAATTTCCAAAATCTCTCATTTGACACTGTCCCGAAATAAATTTTTGGCTGACCAGGTCTGATATTTGCCCAAAGACGGCCTAAGTTCTCGTGAGGCGGAAGCTTTGTCCTAAGCGACAAAATGAATTCTAACCATACCTCAAATAGTACATCGCGACATTTAGTACACCTTTATTGCCCAGGGGACTCAAGTATGAGCTTTCAATTAGCTATCATATAGCAGTATAGCGTATAACCATACCGGGGGCGGATCTATGATTTTCTCGAGGAGGGTAGCGGACTTTTCTTTTTCTAAGGTCGACCAATTCAGTAAAAAGACCGTTTTGGCCAAGTTTCAGCCAAAATTGGATATCTCAAAATAACACAAAACGATGATCGCCGTACCCAGGGAACTTTCTGTGCAACATCTGAAAGTCTTTATATTTACATAGGTTGATTCTCAGATCTAAATTTTTTTATTTCAGATCTTGATTAGAATTTGACAATTTTAAATCTGAAATTTGGATCTGAATTAAAGAACACATTGGAAAAAACTTTTCAGATCTGAAATTAGATTTGAAAAACCCTTTGTTGAATTATAGTTTATACGATTCGAGCAAACCATTGAGTTTTTTTTTGATGTCTCTGAAATACACAATTATGTTTAGATTATGTAGAGGTAAAAAAACTTCGGAATATATTCACAAGCAGTTTTTGAAGTAAATTTTCTCGTTCAACTGTGTTAAAATGTTTTCAAAAACTCCTAGAAAACCTATCAATTTTTGAGTTTCGTGCGCTACTTATAAGTTCATAGTGTTTATCTCATGCTCGAGACAACTTTTTTTGGGAGTTTCTCCTTTGAGACTTTGCTGAGTCTCTGCTAGTAGCTAGCAGGAGCTCTCAGTTACCCAAGTATCAAAAACAGCAAAAATTGTATCAGAATCATTGATATTTCAGATCTGAATTAATCAAGAAAAACTAAAACCAGATCTGAAATAACCCATTCGTAAAGTATCCAAGCGTCATTTTAACCGTTCACACTCCATTTCAGATCTGAATTAGAACTTTTATTAGGTACGGGCCTTGAGGTCGGCAGGGGTTTGCCCACTCCCCCATTACCCCCTGGTGAACATGACTTCTAGCACATCAAGACAACTTTTTCCACTGTGAACGTTCCGTTCCGACTGAATTTTAATTGGTCTCGGGTAACTTTGGAATTAAAAAAAAAACACTTTGCACTGACAATATGGAAAGTTAGGTGTTACAAATTGAATCGTAAAAGGAAACAGTATGATTAATTAGCTTGACTCAATATTTCACAACTTGAACAGACGCAGTCTTAATTTTTTAAATTAATATGCAGAATGAATATGTTATGAATGAATATTATGCAGAATAATTTCACTTGCTGTTAGAATAACGTTTGTCAACATCAAGTTTTAGCATCAAAATGTTTGATCTTAAATCAATCTTATTTTTCGACATCACATGTTCGAGATGATTTCACGTTTCACGTTTCACGTTTCACGTTTGATTTCAAAATAGTAAATCAGTTCTTCAAAACTTTTTACACTTTTTTTTAAAAAACCAGTTTTAACGAAACTCGTTTAGTGCAGTTTTGAAAACGTGGTTGTTAATAGAAAATTATCGACTGCATGACTTGTTCTGTTTTCTGTGTTCTCATGTTCAGTACTGATTTTTGCTTGCCTCTGCAATCGAATCTATCATGATCAACGCGTAAGGGCAACTTTTTTATGAGTGGCGAGTTATTTTGCTCTAAACTCATTCCAAACCGACTTGAGGCAAGCTAGCAGTGCATAATAATTCCATATACCACTCAAGTTATAACTAAAGCATTTGAAATGAACTGTTGGGGGAGAAATTAACAAGCTTTTGAAGTCTGTGAAAATTGCCATTACCGAAATTTGTTTGCAAACATTTGAAGTACCCCCAGAATTATCCTGATACGAGCAGGTTTTTTTGAGTTTTTGTTGAATTTTTTTGTGATTTTTACAATGAAATTATGTAAAACCTTAATTTCAAATTTATTGTGACAATTCACTGCTGGCCTTTTATTCGAGAAAAGTGTGGGCTTGAGAATTGCTGATACGACGAAATTTAGATAAGTATTGTAGGCGAAACTTCTTCACACTGTAGGCGAAACTTTAACGAGCTTCACATGCGACGTTTCAATTCGACACAATCATTCTAGTTTGAAGTGGGCACCACATTTAATGAAAATAGTTTTTCAGTAATGTTACTCTGTTACTTGGATCGGGTATGGAAAAAAGACGAATTAATTTAGACGAATTCAGAAAAATTAAATTACTGAACAGATTGCTTTTATACAAGCAGTTTTTTTTGGTCTTTTGTTCAATTTTACTGGAAATTTTTTTTTCAAAGAAAGATCTCAAATCCCTGGAGCTCAAAGATACTTGTGCATTTTCGTGAAGCTATAAGGGTTTGAAAACTGCCAATACGACCAATTACGCGCTAAAGTTCCTGTTACGCGCTAAAATTACAAAATTTTGTTTTACCGAGTTGAAAAAGTGGCGTTTTAACCCAGCTAAGACGTCATTCCAATATGTATTGAGAAAAAAGTTTTTCAGTAGATGCAAAACTCGAAATTATATCTCAATAGGGAGTGAGGAAAGGTTCAAAAGTAAAAGTTTGGAGCTAGGTTAACTGGCTGGTGCGCAAGTAGCGCAGAATATTCCAACCACATTCATAAAAAACTACAAAGAATGTTTTTTTTTCTACATTTTAGGGTCGTTTGTTTTGTCCATGGTGTGATGAGAGACCTACACAAACGCGCAAAAATTTAGCGATTTAGACATAATCGTGAACAATTGGCTTCAAAAAACGAGTAAAAGAAAAAAAATATTTTCAGAAATACCTTTTTAAAAAACATTCAAAATGTTTATTGCGCACTGTTATTCATTTATTATTTGAAATTTTTCATGATTAGAGAAGCACTAAATAAATTTAAATGAAATTTTCTATTGAAAAAATCTAGTTTTCTGAACCTAAATGTCCAATTTTCCTATAGCGAACATTACTAGATCGCGTCACCCGCTCGAAGTTGAACTAAACCTCAAAAACTTCACACTATTTTTTCTCAATACTGGAACAACTTTCTGAACTTTTTTGATGTCGTTCGAACGGCGACTAAAAAGGCTTTAGGATGAGATATAACTCGACACAATCCAATTATTGTTTGTGGCAGCTGATTTAGCGTAAAAAACTAAAACGCATCTGAATACAAAAATCATCCTCATTTTCAATGTGCTGAACGAAAAATGAAAACTATTTTTTTTTGAAAATGCAAGACGAAGTACAGTTAAGAAACTTTATAGGAATGCCAAATCATCTAAGAGTTTGCACTGCTTCCAGCTATAAAGTGTTTTCTTTTCGGCTGCAATTAATTGTCTCTAGGCGCAAATAGTCTCTCTCTATGATTTTTGCTTTTTCCAGTTACTGCAATTGCTGTTTTTGACCAGATAGTAGTTTAGTATTTTTTTGCCTAGTTGTAAGCGCAAACTTGAAATCAAACTTCACGTTGCCATAAAAAACATGCATACGAAAAATTGTTTCAATTCAATTCGATTTCAATCAGTTTTTTTAGAGCTGAATAAATCGTGACGCATGAAAAAATTGCATTTCTTTTCGAGTATCATTAAAAAAACTTGACAACTCTAATACGCCTTAAATATAAATTTTAAAGTGAACGTAAAAATAATATACAAATTTAAACTATTTTATTTTTGAACTCTATGGGGTGACACATTACGAGGCCAAACTGTGCACTGGATAGAGCACTGGATAGTACAAAAATTCAGTGGATTCCGCATACATATACCTGTAACGTATTTTTTGTCGGCACATTTGTTTTGTTGCGGATTCCGCAACAAGCAAATATAGCTAGTTGTTCTGGATTCCGCAGCTGTAAGTGGATTCCGCAAAATGTAGGCGGAATCCGCAAATATAAGTGGATTCCGCAAATTGTAAGTGGATTCCGAATTTTGTTCAGTACTGAACTTGTATATGAACAATTAAAAGCTGAGCTAGAATTATTATCTCCGGCAATGCGGAATTTGAAAGCAAAGACTTAACCATTGTCAGCGGAATCCACGAACAAGTCTTAAAACATTGTTTACTTAAATCGGTGGATATCATCGTTTAATATTTTGAAAACACAACACCGAAAAATTTCGATATTTGGTGTCTTTGAGTTGAGAGTGTATGGAACACACAGCATATCGACAAAATAGGTCAGCATTTGGGATTGCGTCAATCCCAAAAACTGATTTTGGAAGCATAACGCCGAATAAATGCAGTAATTGTAGTCATTGGGTTGAGATTGTATGGAAACACAACACACAGCATATCGCCAAAATAGGTCAGTAATTGGGATTCAATCAATGCCAAATACTAGTCAGTATTTGGGATTGATGAAATCCCAAAAACTGGAGTAAAGTGGAATAAATATGGAATATATCCATTACTTGGAGTCATTAGGTTGAGAGTGATTAGAAACCCAACGCATAGCAAATTGTCGAATTAGTTCAGTATTTGGGATTCCATCGATCCCAAATACTGGTCAGTACTTGGGATTGATGAAATCCCAAAAACTGGAATAAATATGGAATAAATCCATTATTTGGAGTCATTAGGTTGAGAGTGACTAGAAACCCAATGCATAGCAAATCGTAGAATTAGTTCAATATTTGGGATTTCATCGATCCCAAAGACTGGTCAGTAATTGGGATTCCATTAATCCCAAACACTGATCTATTCTAGTAAGTTTCTATACTAGTAAATTTCTGTTCTAGTGAAATCAGATCATGTATTTGAAAGATATAATTTTAAAGGATACTACACATATAAATATAAGTAAAGGGAATCCGCAAACAAAATGCGGATTCCACTTACAATTTGCGGATTCCACTTACAGTTGCGGATTCCGCAACATCTCAATATAACGATACAAAAGTTTTATCATTTGTTTGTGGATTCCACAAGCTGTTCTGAATTCCGCAAATACAGTTGCGGATTCCGCAAAGTCGCCTATTTTTCGAGCGATTTTGAGCGGTACAATGATTTAGTTATTTGTTGACAAATCTGATTTTGGCCTGTTGCGGATTCCGCTTAAAATGCAGAGAATGCACAGTTTGGCCTCGTAATGCAAAATTTATTCGGGAAAACTATGATTTCGATCGCCGATTTTTGACTGAACAATTAAAATAACACAGAGCATAATCATTCTGCGTTTACTCGAAAGTCAAAATGAAAGATATAATCCGCAAAATGAAAGGTAGTTACCTCGAGGTTTTGAGACCATGCCCCGACCATAAAAAATTTTCCAGGCGAAACATTTTTACATCGGAATTTATATCGGCGCGACGTAAAAGTCAAAACACAAGTAGCAAAACTTGACCAGAATTGCTCATTATTTATTTTCGTCGAGACCTTACTGTTTTCCACTTATTATATTATCCTTCATTTTCAGAGTAATAGAAAATTAAAATTTTAAGCTAAGCCTAAACAGTGTGGAAAACTTGGTGGTTTCAAAAGTCGGATCTTTAAAATCAGTTTCCCCTATGGTTCCTCTGGTAACGAATTGCCTCTCTTATAAAAAAACTTATTCAACGGCTATGCATATATGAATTTTGTTCCCTGTAACGAACACGTCCCCTGTTCCAAAGGGGGACTAGTTAAAAAGATCCCAAAAGTCAAAAGTTTTAGTGAAATCAGTCAACACACTCGTTTTAGTGAAACTCGTTCCTACTCACTATCTATGTCGTTTACACAATGAGCAGATGTGAGTACCCACTTCTGTGCAATGATTGAGCCCCCACACCAGGACTTAATATCAGGGCCCCTCATGATTATCACCTGCACGTAAAAGTCCCTCCTGATGACCCTGTGGCCACCCAACACAGTCGCAATAAGAGAAGACGAGTTGAGAGAGTCTGTTTTGTTCAACAAAGTCTGAACTGCTCGAGATGATAAGATAAACTCAAACAGTATAAGGAAAAGTGCGAATAACATTTTGTGTTTCTCTATTTATGCAATTTATTCCTAAAACCTCAACACAATCAGTAAAAATCAGATTTAAACTGAATTGGTTTTCTTAGTTTCTAAAGCAATGGTATTGTAATATTCTGCAGCAAAGTAACGCTCAAATTTTGTGGATGGTTTAGCTCAACTTTCATGATGGTGGTGGTAGGAAAATGACATTAGATTTCGGTTTGTGATATTTAGAGAAACAACTCACCAAACTAAATTTAATGTAATGTTAAGTTATAAAAATTCAGAGTTCTGATGTTTTTAGCTAAAACTTTTTTCCTCCAAAACAATATCTAAAAGTGATTTTGGACATTTTCAAAGATTTTATTCGAACTGTAGTTAAACTATAAAAAGCCCAGGAAAGAAATATGCATTCGTGGATTCTTGCCGACACGCGGAATTGTGACCTCTCTGTACTTTTGCGAGTAACATCTAAATCATTTCTAGAAAAATTTTTGAGACTGTTGGGTCTAAGCGTCAACAAAAGCAAAAATTAACGTGGGACGAAGATCGATTCAGGTTGTTAGATTGATGAAGCTTCCAAAAGAAGAGTAATGAATGTTAAATTTGTACGGCATATGTAATGTTTAAATAACCTAATTTTATGCACTAAGTTGTTTTAGTGTGTGCCACTAACAACATTAACTAAGGTCACAACAGCAGGTCCCCAGACAGAAACCAATGACTTTACATACATAAACTTAAACTGTTACCTATGTCATATAGGTAAGCACAATGAATTTTAAATCCGGAGATTGAAAATTTATAGTATTCCAAAACGCATCTGATACAAATCGTCATATCAATCAGTGTTAGTTTATCAACCAGATTTAGTTTAAACGAAAAGTTTTATATACTGAAAAAGTTTTAATTGAGTTTTAAGCATATCTGTCGACCCTCTCCATGGGTCCTTCTTGTCACGTCTTCTCTCATTTACGATCAACTAGATCGATCATAACTCAGCCCATCGTGTCCACTCCTTTCATCTGTCTGGTCGACTGACGCGTAGCTTTCTCCAATTTTTTATTCCTTTACTCGACAGTTCTCGAAGCGCCCGCTTGCTCCGTATCCGACGGTTCATTTGTCTCCTTATCTCGCCTTTCCTCGCTCGCCTTGTTCATCGCTGTCCCGCCGCTCGTTGCGCATTCGTGTTTATCGCTCTTGACCGCTCGTTTGTTCTCGTCATCGTCGTCACCACTCTCTTCATCGCTACTTTCAAGTACTCGCCTCATTTTCTTTTTCTGAATTGCGTCACTCTCTGCGTGCGTTCGCCTCTTTGTCATCTTTTGCTTTGTCTTGTCCTCTTGTTCGGCTGGTACTACATTAGTTCCAACCATTGGTGCGATTCTTTGTTCGCAAACTTTACTCGGATCTGTAGTGTTCTCAGTGAGGATCTCTTCTGTCTGGCTTTCTTCGACCGCTGATCTAAATGAAACACCACTTCGCCTAGGTATTGACCCTTTTTTAATTTGCGCCGTATGTGGTGTTTTTTTCCATAGTAGCAGATTAACATTTATACCTCATTGGGTCCTGTGGATCCGTGATCCCAGTTCGTTGACACACCGCTGTGGTGCTACTTTTGTGAAACTTGAGCCACGATGGTGCGCTAGGATGAGTTAATTCGACGTCCGAGTCTACAAACTCATGTTCCTGTAACATCCGAAGAGTTTTCCGGTTGTTAGGAGCGTAAACCAGGTCACTTCCCTTTTCCCAATCTAGCTTTGGCTCCTATTCTGGGAGTTCCCTAGCTTCATTTAAACATTGTCGTTTGTGGCTAAATACATTTGTCCAGTCGAAATTCTTAAGTGATGGTTTTTTCGTAAGGTTTCGGAGAAAGATATTAGTTTTTCTTCCATGGTTGCTTTCAAAAGGCGTTAATTTAGTTTTAGATTGCGGTACGAATCATAAAGCGCTCAAAACTCAGGATAGCATTTTTTTAATTTTTTGGTTTTTGTCTTCCAGCAGAGGTATATTAAAACGTAATTTTGATTTGAACCGATGGTTCTTTCAACCATGCCAGTTGCGCGATGATCCTTTGCTGGGATTTTATAAGCTCCATACCCTCGTAAAATTGCAGAAATTTAGAATTCTTTTGGAAAGTGTCCGGTCGCCTGATCCATAGGTAGTTTCCTTGGGTGCGTGGACCCTAGAATTACAATTGTACTAAATTGTTTGGTTTCTTAAGGTTTAAATGTTATACTATTTTCACCTTTGGGAAATTTTTACCTACTTTTATGCAGCTCATGCAATAGTTAGCGGTTGCCGCAATATTCTGTTACATAAGCGGGATTGAAACGTCCTTCTCCGCCGAAACTATTCCATCTCGACCGTGGTGCTTTTGATATAGTCGGTTAAGCGGTGATGCGGACATATCCTTAGGTATGGCCAACCGGCCATCCATCGAAAGGCAGTTTTCTCTCACTACAAAGTCCGTATAGTTTTGTGTGTAATACTGTCCGAGTTTTGCACTTACTTCTTTTGTCCGTGGGTTCCGGACCCGAATTGCAGCTCAAATTTTCTTCAAAATCGGGTTTTTTCCAGGTTTGTCTCCACAAATTTCAAATTAAATGTTTTATGGCTTTTCTTGACTATTTTGCTCTCAATTGGGAGAAAAGAATAAACCAATTTTCCACTTTTTACAAGAAGATAATACAGGCCAGGAAATTAATGAATACATGAGACAATGTTTTTTAGATTTTTCGAAGACTTTGTTTTGGGCGCGACTTTCTCTGGTGGTGCAACCGCAATATCCAAATCGAAATTTGAACTAGGCGGCTGATTTTGAATTCTATTTATTACAACAATTAGATTGGCATTTCCAGACTGGGTTGACGTATTTACAAATGTAGAATGTTTTGGATCTAACTTTTCCGGCAAATTAGTGTTTGACATATTTCGTTGGAAAAATTGATGATTTTGTTTGAGTGAGCAACTGTGTTTAGCTGAATGAGAACAACGTCTGTTTTTTTTATACGCAAATTGCATATAGCCTTTGATATGTAGATAACTTCTTTCTGATTGGCTGACCGCCCGTTGCATGCAACCACGCCCTCCAGTGAGCGCTTACATTTACGTATATCATTTGCATATTCCAATTTATCTCGAATTTTATTGGATACGACACTCTCACCTGAGTGAACAAGTGATCGTACGCCCTCAACCGGTGGTTTTTTAAATTTTTTTCTTGCTTGACTCCTCGAATTTAACTGGTCCCCAGAATATATTGCTTCGATAGTCATTTGTTTCTTTGCTACCATAAAGTTTTTTATCATAATGACTTGTCCCGGGTGCCGCTACTGACGGGAAATAAGACAAGTAATCCGCCCTCCCCATTTCGATACTTGTCGATGCTCCACTGTAATGTCATACGGTAACAACCGAGAGGACCATCGGGTTAACCTTCTAAAAATGTTTTATTTCCTTTCGGTGATGAACTTAACAACGTTAACAGTGCTTTATGATCCGATATAACTGTGAAACAACGTCTGTACATGTAATTGCGGTGGCCCATATTACTGCGAGTAATTCAAGTTCGTTGGTCGAATATTTTTCTCTTTCGAGTTAAGACAACGTGATGCAAATGAAAGAGGATGCAGCCCACTTGAGCTGTACTGTTCTAACATGGCCCCCAAACCCTCATGACTCGCATCGCAGACACTTACATAAGCGGGATCCTCCTAATACTGCATTCGTATTTCACGGGGTATATCGTAATGTTTAAGTTCGAAAATATTCTTGACCAACCATTTCAATTGTGCAAAAGCGTTATCACAGGCTGGCGTCCAAATGAACTCGTTGTTCATTTTTAGAAGCTGACGTAAAGGTAAACTAACTTTTGGCAAAAACTTATGTAGACTGTGCATTGAACCCATTAGTTATTTTAATTGTTTTCTTGACATCGAGGGCCTAAAATCCTCGACTGCTTGGGTTTTTCAAACCAACGGTGCAATGCCGTCGTTTCCTATTCGAAAGTCTAGCGATTCGCCGTTCACTTTTCCGTAATTTCAAGGCGGCGTTCAATACATCCAGTTTCTTGAGATTCCTCTCGACAAATGCGATGTGTTCTATTTAATATGTCGTCTATGAACGCGTTCGCTTGAGGGAATTCCTTGAGTAAGTTAACTATAATTTTTTGAAACTCCGCTGCCATTTTTCTGCTCCCATCTTTCTTTACTGTGCTTAATATTGGGGACACGAATCTCTTATCCAAACATTCTTGCAGCTTGATAAAGTGTCCTTCTTTGAATAAACGATTTATCTCCTTGTCAACTTTATCTTGTAAGTTGATTGGCACCCGATGACTTTTTTTGTACTGATTTCAATGCGTCAAAAAATCGGCTCTGACTTTAACGGTTCGTATTCTCCCTATTCTGGTAAACAAATTTGAATACAACAAACAGAAAAACGTTTGCAGTTCATCTAGCCCCTCTGCACTCTCACTGCTATTTTCCTCCGTAATTCCCATGACTCGGTTTAAACACTTCCAGTCCTAGGATGCCCATCAAATCACGCCCAAGGATCGATTGGTGGTTCCCTGCAATTAAGGACACCTGCGCCGGCGTAACCCAACCATTGAGTGCCATAGTCACTTCTATTTTCCCCAGTTTGTGTATTCGGTTGTTGCTGTAGTCCAAAAATTCTTCTCGTGCTGGCTGTAAATGTAAGTTTGTTTAATCTAATGCTGATTTCAGGTCCATCATGATGAAAATTGTCACCGGAGACCCGCTATCAACCCAGAGCCACATCTTTTTCGCCGACACCTCAACTTGGGTTCGGAATTTTCAGCTCCATCGCGTTCTTCTTCTTGATTGACTTCACCATGTAGTCATCGGACCCTGAAGAGGTTAATATATCCTCTCGGCATTCTTGCTCCTGATTGACCCAGGCTACTTGCTCCTCCTGTATAATATCTACACTGTGCGTGCTTTGGTGATGCTCATCCTGATCCCGGACTAACCAAACTCGTCCACCTCCCCTCCAATGGTTAGTACCTCGTCTTACACCCCTGCATGTGTGCTCAAAATGCCCTTACTTACGACATGCATTGCACATTACTCCTTTTGCCGGACAGTTGGCAATGTGATCCAACGTAAAATTTGCTGCATCTTAATTATAACACCGACGATTTCCGTTTCCGAC